AGGTATCACCCATGAAGGGTGTGATGAGGTTTGGGAAGAAGGACAAGTTGAGCCCTAGGTATATCGGGCCTTGTGAGATCCTTAAGCGAGTGGGACATGTGGCTTACAGACTTGCATTGCCACCAGGCTTATTAGTGGTACATCCACTGTTTCATGTGTCCATGCTTCGGAAGTATCACGTCAATCCATCCCACATGCTAGATTTCAGCATTGTCCAGTTGGACAAGGATTTTACCTACGAGGAGGAGCCGTAGCCATTTTAGACCGGCAGGTTCGTCAATTGAGGTCGAAGAGTTACCCTTCAGTTCGAGTGCATTAGAGAGGTCAGCCTGTTAAGGCAGCTACCTGGGAGTCCGAGTCCAATATGCGGAGCAAATATCCCCACCTTTTTACCAGCTCAAGTACTTTTCTATGTTCGTTCGAAAACAAACAGTTATTTTAGAGGCGGAGAATTTGATAAGCCAAAAGGTCATTTTATTTTTTAGAACTTGATTTTGTGTTCTGAGGCCCTTTAAAATATCATTTTTACCCTCCTGATTTGCGTGCGCAGTCCGGGCGTGTTTCCGGAATGCTTTTATGTTTAAAGTTGATGAAATGAAAGTTGAATTAGTTGACTTTGGTTAATGTTTTGAGTAAATGGACCCAGACTCCTGTTTTGACAATCCCGGTTGGTCCGTATCGAAATATGGGACCTGGTTGTATGCCCGAAATTAAATTCTGAGGTCCCTAGCTCGAGAAATCAATTTTTGATGAAAATTAAAACACTGAAAATCTAATTGTTTTAAGAATTTGGTTAATGTTTGATCTTGTTGGTATCGGATCCGTATTTTGGTTCCGGAGCCCAACATAGGTTGATTATGATATTTAAGACTTGTCTGTGAAATTTGGTGTGGAACGGAGTTGGTTTGACATTATTCGGACATCCGGTTGTGAAAATAGTGATTTTAAAACTTTTTTTAAAAATTTCATTCAATTGGGTGCTAAATTCGTAGTTATAGGTGTTATTTTGGCAATTTGATCACGCGAGCAAGTTTGTATAATATTTTAGGACTTGTGTGCATGTTTGGTTTGGAGCCTCGATGGCTCGGGTGAGTTTCGGATAGGCTACGGGAGGTTAGGACTTGGGAAAATCTGGTTTTTTCTTCAGCTTCAGTGCTTTCTGGTTTCCTTCTTCGTGTTAGCGAAGGTACTCTAGTGAATGCGAAGAGTGAACTGGAGCTTGGTATTTTTGTTCTTTGTGAACCCACAAGTCCGGTCGCGAACGCGAAGCAGAGGGGGTTTTACCCTTCGACGAATGCAACTAGCATATCGTAAACGCGTAGTGTAAGGGACCTGGGGAGGGGATAGCCATTATTCTATGCAAACACGATCACTGGCTCGCGAACGCGAAGGACAGGGGGGATAAGTCTTATCGAACGCGTAGGATTACTCGTGAACGCATAGGCCTTTGGGCCGCTGCCTTTCGCGATTGCGGCAGGCTCTTGACGAACGTGAATAAGGCCTTCCCAGTTATTTATAAACAAACTAGAACAAGATTTTCTCAAAAATTTCACAACTCTTTCATTAGAACTCGACCTAGGAGCAATTTTCAAGGGAGAATTCAGCACCAAATCATAGGTTTGTACTCTTTAACTCATTTTCTTCCATTTCTAACACCCATTGAATTCCTAGCCTTAATCTTTGTTCTTTCATGGTAGAAAACTAGGGATTAAAGAAGAATTGGAGATTTTTGCAAATTGAGGATTTAGACCTTAACTTAAGGTCGGATTCCAAAACCAATTGCATATCCGGGCTCAGGGGTGAATGTGTAAATGGATTTTGGTTCAAAGTTCAAATTTTCACCAAGAGGCCCCGAGGTCGGTTTTTGACTTTTTGCGGGAAAAGTTGAGAAATCTAAATTCATGCATTGTAGTTGATTCATTTATCAATAATTGATGTTATTGAGTTAATTGTGTCTAGATACGAGTGGTTCGGACATGGATACTAGAGATAAAACGGTAATTAAGCATTGAGTGGCTCGCAGAGCGAGGTAAGTGTCGTGGTTACCATTGGCTTGAGAGATTAGGTCTTATTTGCCACGTGTTTGAATGTTGAGTACAACATATTGGTGAGATAACGAGTATCTATGCGTTGTTGTTGAGTCATACCATGCTAGTCTTATTTATATAATTGTAGCTTTCTGTGATTATTTTATCCATGTTTAGACTAGTTTATTGTTATGTTGATCGTTGTTATCATATGTACGGATTTTGGTATTAATTGAGTATTGACTCAAGTTCGAGGTTGGTATTGTGGAAGCAATTGTTGAAGTAAGACATGTTATTGTCATTTCTATCTCCCTATTATTATTCTTCCTTGTTTTGGTGAGAGAGAGTGTTAATGCACGAAGGGTGATGTCGTGCCATTCTTATTTAAATTATATGGTGAGGTTGAGAGTTAAAGCACGAAGGATGATGTCGTGCCATTCTTATTTGATTTATATGGTGAGGTTGAGAGTAAAAGCACTAAGGGTGATACCGTGTTGTTTCTATTGATTATTTGGTGAGGTTGAGAGTAAAATAACGAAGGGTGATGCCATGCATTTTCCATTGCTATGTATATTTGTTATTACTGGTTCATGGTGTACTAGCTGCTTAATTTCTCTATTGCTGTGATTCTTTGTCTTATAATCCCCTGAGCTATTTTCCCTTCCCGTTATATCTGTTTAACTTCTATTAGTTGTTATTGTGCTTCTATATTATTTAACTGCACAGGTTTATGTATGTGGCCCGTCCTAGCCTCGTCACTACTTCGCCGAGGTTTGGCTCAGCACTTACCAGTACATGGCTTTGGTTGTACTGATACTGCACTCTACACTTTCTGTGCAAATTTTGGTAGTGGCCTGAGTTGACCCCAAGTTTAGCAACTACACTTGATCGACAGGAGACCAAGGTAGATCTGCAGTGTCCGCAGACCCTGGAGTCTCTTCTTAGACTTGTTATTTTACTTTTCCTTTTCTTTCATAACAGTGTATTATCTTTCAGACTCTGTTTGTAGTAAATTGTAGTAGCTCGTGAGTTGTGACTCCAGATCCTAAATGTTTCAGTTACTTTGGGTTTTATAATATTCCGCAAATTCTATTTAGCTTCTGTTGAGCTTAATTAATTTCTGTCGTCAAATTGCCTGAAGTTGATTTATGAATTCTCTAACGTTGGCTTGCCTAGCAAGGGAAATGTTAGGCGTTATCACGATCCCGAAGGAGGGAATTCTGGGTTGTGACAATGCAACATCTGCGACTGGGCAAATAGCTAAAAAGGGGATTTTCTCTCATTCTTCAAATTTTCAAAACAAGAAAAACCTAGATGCGATTTTCCCAAGAGCCCTTCTTCCCCAATCCATTGATAAGTGATCGCAACCTATTGTCTTTCAATATTTCATTACATTTCATAATACCTCAACCTAAATCTTGTATTTTCATGGTGGAAATTGGTAGTTTGGGTAGAACTAGGGATTTTTGTAAAATTGGGATTAAGACCTCAAATGAGGTCGGATTTTAAAATAAATTACATAAGTGGGCTCGGGGGTGAATGGCTAATTGGATTTTGGTCTGAATTTCGGGTTTGGACCAAGTTGGCCTAGGAGTTGACTTTTTTGACTTTTTCAATAATTACATAAATTAAATCTTTTGCAATCGAGGGTAGTTCCTAAGGCTTATTTTGAATCGTTTGGTTGGTAATTTACTAGATTTTATTGGTTCAGAGGCTTGTTTGAAAGGCAAATCTGTGGTTGAGCTTTAAGTTGATCTTTGGAGTGAGGTAAGTGTCGTGGTTAACCTTGACTTGATGGATTAGGACTTGTTTGCCTATTTGCTACATGTTTAGATATTGGGTTCAACGTATATGTTAGGTGACGAATACTTATTTTAACACCTCCTTTTTCTACACCAAAGGGGATATAAGGGAGTTTTTCCAATTAAAGTGAGAATAATCGAAACGGGATTATTTATTCAAATTCAGAGTTGCTACTTGGAATAATTTATGGTGTCCCAAGTCACCGGTTTAAAATCTCGAATCGAGGAAAGTTGACTCTTAATTATGGTATGCGAACACAGGAATCCAGGTAAGGAATTTTGTTAATCCGGGAGAAGGTGTTAGACATTCCTGGGTTCCATGGTTTTAGCACGGTCGCTTTGATCATACTTGGCTTAATCGAATTGTCTAATTACTTATTTTAGAACCTATGTGCATTTACCTCTTTTAATTAAGGAAATATCTTAAAATAGGTCATGCGCACGTGTTCCGATTTGTTTGGTGCGTCAAAAATCATGTCACGCGAACGTGTCCACAATTAATAACGCTTTGTTATTATTGAGAAAGTTTAGTCGAAGTTGCGCGAACGCATGCTCCGATTTTGTTTTTAAAATCGCAATTATATCACGCGAACATGTACACAATCACGATAATATATTAAATCGCGCCTAAAGCAAGCTATGAATATTCATTTTAGAAACAGTAATCATGTCACATGAACGTGTACAAAATCACGATAGTAAATTCAAAACGCGCTTAAAAGTTCGCCTACCCGAATGTAGTATGCCTAAACATGCTCCTAATGGTCCGAGCAGGCAAAGTAAAATGATAAGTTTGATTTTTCATTCTAGATGTCCAATCCCCACATTCAAAACAACAAGAATGGCAATCAAATTACTTAATCAAGTTAACTTAACTTTTCGTCGACAAAATTTTGATTCTGAATTATCGAACATTTATCTTCAACGAAGCAATATGTCAAGGATAAAAAACAACTCATTTCAATCATTGAAAACCACCCGAATACAAATTAACAAAGGAAACCCACTAAACAAATAATATCAGAATAAAAAGGTACACAAACACTACTAAGCATCACAAACAATAATGAAACCTTAACTAAAATATCAATAACATAGATATATGAAACTAAGGAAAAATAGTAAAGGAAAGCGAGAAATAAACCTTGAACGTACAAAAACATTATCAAGGTACCACAAACAACAATAAAAACTTAACTAAAAGATCAACAACACAGATACATGAAACTAAGGCAAAATAATAAAGTAAAGGGAGAAATAGACCTTGAACAAATCTGAAATATGATTGTTTGATAGCTTGAAAATGCTAAGCGACGGAAAATCAGCAATAAAACCAACGAACTGAAATTCGACAAACTCAAATTCGACCACGACAAACCTCGAACTGGCAATCAGAACTCCACCTAGAATTCAAATCAACCCCATGAGGGACGATCAAAAATCAGAAACTAAAATGCATTTTTTTCAAATTTAACAAAAGCACAAACAAAATTTTTTTTGTTTCTTTTTTTATGAACTAAAAAATGAAATCATGAAAAGGAAAGTCGAGAAATTAGGATTAAAACCCTTGTCCTCTCCCTCTCACTCTCGTTCTCTTTGTTTGTTCTCCGGCGAGCTGGGTGGTAGAGAAGGACGACTGCTGCTATGCTGTTCTTGGAGAGATGACTGGCGATGGAGACGAAGGAGGTCTAGCTCGGTGGCTTCTAGTGTTTTGGGGTAGCTGGTTTCAGGGGTGGTCTGTCCAGCGGCGATGGTGAGCTACTAGCTAGAGACGTTAGAGTTGTCATGTGGCTGGTTTGGCGGTTTTGAGATGGGGTGGCTAAAGGGTCTGTGTGTTGTGAAGGTGCTGAAGGTTAGGGTGTGTAGAGGAAGAAGCTAAGGGTCTTTGGTTTTTGCTTCAAAGAAGAAGAATCTTCAGGTGTTCCCCCCAGGTTCTGCGGCTGCTATCATTTTTTAGGTCTCTAGGTTAGTTCTAGGTTTTTAGGTTTTTTTTTGTTTTCAATCCTAGATGGAAATGGCTGAAAAGGTCTAGATCTTAGGGATCTTGGTCTTAGGTTATATGAAGGAAGGATTTATTTTAAGTTTTAAAATCTGATGGGCTAAGGTATTGGGCTTTAAAACTTGAGCCTTTATGACCAAATTTGCTTAAAATTGGCTTATATAACCAAGAATCTATCCACCCTATATTAACCCTTGCCTATAAAATAAAAAACAATGATAAAAATACTACCAAAGTATTAATTAGCCCTACTTAAGTAGAAATAACTATTAAAATAAAACTAACCATTAAAACAAACCTATTTTTTGTGATTTTTATTTTGTGACAAAATAAAGTAAATGAGTCAAAATTAGTTGAAATAGTGATATTAGGCCTAAATTAAATATTTAGATGCTAAAATATATAAAATCTTGGGGAGGGTAAAAAATCACACGTCTACAGCTGCCCCTCTTTGACTGGAAACACGAAGAGTTTTCCGACAAAGAACGACGAGAGAGGTTTTTTGACCCGACCCTTATTTAGAGAGACCAAAAACTAATAGGAAGGAGAATGTGACCGAACCCTGGTATCTGAGCTGCCTATATATTCTTGGCTATAAAGTAATCAGGCCACATGTAGTTTAGAAGTAGGAATAGTGATGGAGTATACCGAGGTGGACAACCGATTGAGGTGTCGTTCCGACGAGGTTCCGGTCTGCGATCCTATTATTACATCAAAATAAAAAATGAGAAAGACTAACTAAGCCTGTCAACTATGAGTTACAAGATTCATATCTATAAGTCTTCTGAAGCTTGATCTTGAGTCTTGAATGGTTCTTCATGCAGACTTTAGATTTGAGCTTTGACGCTTCTAGCTGCAGGTGCTAGTTTGTTTTTCTTCAACTCTTTCAGATCAATACTGGACATGCAGTGCTCGTAACTTCAGTCATGTCTTGAGCAGCTGACATCTTTCTTCTGCTTCTGCATTTTGGATTCACTTCTTTTTCCTTTCTTTTATTTTGGATTGATACTACTTCTATTGGTTATCTCGGGCCATTGATTCGCCTTCTTACCTCGAGCTTCTGCTGCTTCTAATTTTAATTATATTCTAAAATGACTTCTCTTGTTCTCCAGGTGGGCGCTTACTACTGACTTGAAACTTGAAATAATCTCGAAACGAAATCCCTTGTTCTCCAGGTGGGTGCCTGCAACCGATACTTGAAATGAATTCCCTTGTTCTCCAGGTGGGTGCCTGCAACCGATACTTGAAATGAATTCCCTTGTTCTCCAGGTGGGTGACAGCTGCCGATACTTGAACTGAATTCCCTTGTTCTCCACGTGGGCGCCTGCTCCCGATACTTGAAATGAATTCCCTTGTTCTCCACGTGGGCGCCTGCTCCCGATACTTGAAATGAATTCCCTTGTTCTCCAGGTAGGCGCCTGCTGCCGATACTTGAACTGAATTCCCTTATTCTCTAGGTGGGCGCCTGTTGCCGATACTTGAACTGAATTCCCTTGTTTTCTAGGTGAGTGCCTGATGCCAAAACTTGAAATGTCTTCCCTTGTTTTCCAGATAGGTGCCTGATGCCAAAACTTGAAATGGATTCCCTTGTTTTCCAGGTGGGCTCTTGATGCTTAAACTTTGAGATGAATTCCTTTGTTTTTCAGGTGGGCGCCTGATGCTGACACTTGAAATTTATTCCCTTGTTATCCAGGTGGGCGCCTGATGCCAAAACTTGAAATGGATTCCCTTGTTTTCCAGGTGGGCTCCTGATGCTTAAACTTTGAGATGAATTCCTTTGTTTTCCAGGTGGGGTCCTGATGCTGAAACTTGAAATGTATTCCCATGTTATCTAGGTGGGCGCCTGATGCCAAAACTTGAAATGGATTCCCTTGTTTTCCAGGTGGGCTCCTGATGCTTAAACTTTGAGATGAATTCCTTTGTTTTCCAGGTGGGATCCTGATGAAAAAACTTGAAATGTATTCCCTTGTTATCCAGGTGGGCACCTCATGCCAAAACTTGAAATGTATTCCCTTGTTTTCCAGGTGGGGTCCTGATGCTGAAACTTGAAATGTATTCCCATGTTATCTAGGTGGGCGCCTGATGTCAAAACTTGAAATGTATTCCTTTGTTATCCAGGGGGGCACCTGATGCCAAAAATTGAAATTTATTCCCTTGTTATCCCGGTGGGCGCCTCATGCTAAAACTTGAAATGAATTCCTTTGTTTTTCAGGTGGGCGCCTGTCATTACAACAAAACAGACATAACAAAAGAAACTTTTCTGCCCCAGTTTGATACTGGGAACATCTGTGAGTGTTAACTGAATCATGTTATCCAAAAGAGCTCTAAGAATTTAAAAGCTAAATCCCGTTATCCAGGAGGGCACTGAAGATTAAATCTCATTATCTATAAAGGTCTTAAAAACTTAAAACTAAACCCGATTATTCAGGAGAGTCCTGACAACTTAAACTTAAATCCCATTATCCAAGAGGGTCCTAAAAACTTGAAACTAAATCCCATTATCCAGAAGGTTCCTAAACACTTAAAACTAAATCCCATTATCCAGAAGGGTCCTGAACAGCCGAGAATGAACTTACCTAAGCCATACTATCTTCTTGGAGGATCTCTGCAGAACGAACAAAATTCCTTGCCCCTGAACCATGCTTTCCTCATGGATGGTTCCTACAGATCGAACAAATTTTCTTTCCCCTCCTCAAACCTCCTTTGTGCTGACAAAATTTGGGCACGACACTTGAAAAATTCAAGCTTCCAAGTTTTGATTTGGACATAGTCTTCGTCCATATTTCAAACAAAGAAAACTTGTGAGTTTAAACATCGTGGTTGGTTTGTGGCCTTGACTTTGAAAGCAATTGCTCCTTCACTTCCCATGATAACTTTAATTTCATCTCGAAAGACCTTGCTTGTTTATTGACTAGCCACTTTCTCTGTCACCCTTATCACAAAAAATACCTCTGATCCGTTCAAACTCAATCCCTCTATATATTGCATTGTGCTCATTAATTGACATATACCGAACCTTTGTATTTCATATGAATCTCAAAGCACGTCAATTGTCACCTACTCATTGCGCATACTGTTCTTTCTTGACTTATACCGCTTTGTTGTGCTAGCCAGATTCCGTTTTGTGTAATTGGAAAGCTGGTGACAAATTTTGAAGTCATTTTTCACTTGTTCTGACCAAACAGACTCAAGAAGAATAAGTAAACAAGACAAAAGGAACAGAGTAAAGTACAATGGAAAGAGATGATTCCTAACAAGAAAACTACAAAGTAGAAACTTATCAGATGTGGGCATAAACTCTAATGACCATGATGTGCACATTTGGATTAAGTGGCCTAATCTGTCAAGCAAGTCTAATGTTCAACTCTTATTGTACCTCTGAGTTGTGAAACTGGGCTTCCATGCTCCGATTTTCCTATCTGATTCACGGTCCTTATTGGACTTGTAGTGCCCGAAGGGTTTTCACCATCAAGCCTCTCTCATTTTGTTCTTTCTCTCAACTTATCATCGCCTTATGGTGCCTGTGAATGTTTTCACCGATAAGACTCTCTCATTTTTTCTTTTCTTTTTTTTCCTCTGATTTTGCAGATGACAAGGCATTAACCACGATAGAAATGTCATATGCTCCTAGCATGTCTGACTCGGCACTCTCAAAGATTATCTGGGAGGTCTTTTTTGGACTATAATATAGCTTCTGGACAAGGTTAGAAAGAAAGCATATCTGAAAGGCTCAAAATAACTAAGACATCGGGCTTAATTTACTTACATTTTTGGAATCCATTCTAAAACTTTGCCCCAATTTCTAAAACAATGGAATTTGATTCTCTTTTTTTCTGTTTTTCTTTTTTGAAATGGAATTTCTAAGAAAGACTACCTCACTCTCGACTTCATGGGATTATGAAATATTTTATTTGGTGCGACCGAACCGTAAGGCTGCCTACGTATCTTGTGGTGACAAGAATCAGGTCAAATGTAGTTCACAACTAATTCTTGTTTTGTTTTTGTTGCTCTTTTTCTTTTTCTTTTTCTTTTTTCTTTTCTTTTCTTTTCTTTTTTTTTCCTATTTTCTCTTTTGTGTTTTTTTCTTTTGACTTTTCTTTTAGAATGAACTTTCTAAAACAAACATATGGGCATATGAATTTTTTTTATTTTTTTATTTTTATGATTCTAACTTGATTTCAAAAGAGGGGTGGTCAAAAGGGGTACCGAATGGTATAAAGTATTTGGGTAGCTGAAAGAGGGCCTCCCAATCCATGAAAATGCCAAGTATAACACATGCAACTTGAAAATGAAAAAGGAAAATTATGCACAATATTTCTTTTGCAGCTTTGACATTGATATCATTGATATGCCTTCCATTTTTTTTAGTTCCTTATCAAGTACAGAACTCTCGTTGGGTAATTTTTTCTTCATAATGGATGCACTCTGTCTGTTTGGAGCAAACTCCCTTGGCCTTATCTCATCTTGAGATGCACTTGAACTCAAAGTTGCTCGCTTCACATTGTTGGGACGCACTCTCTTGTAATAAGTTCCGGTCATCCTCTCAACTTCCTAAACCATATGCCCTAGTTCCAGGCAATTCGAACTTTAAATGATCTCAAAATATCCAATCTTTACTTATTTCCCTCAAATGTCTCAATCATCTTCAAAATTATTTCATTGCTTCATTATTAAACTAATTTTTAAGATCAGGCCTAGAATTATGCATGCATGTCACGTCACTAGAGCCAGCATAAAAGAACTTTAAAATGAGAAGAGAACTAAACAAAAAATGACTAGAAATAACAAAAAACAAAAAATTGCACTAGACAGGCGGTGAAAGAGTTTGAACAACAAAACAAGCAAAATAAACTAGGGTTACAACCCTGGAACAAACCTGGACAACACTAATCGAGTTACTACGACTAAATAAACTAGGAAAAATAATAGGATAGAAGGATTTGAGTCACAAGACAATATCCGGATTATAACTCTAGAATAACCCGGACAACAAAATTAATAACAAAATGAACCACCAAGACTCATAC